TCCCATAGCTATGCAGAACACGTTACTTCAGTATCTCATTGAAACGTTTTTGCAATACAATGATGTAGCTGATCAAAGGAAAACACATTTCCATCAGTTCTAACAACATGCACGATGAGCTAGGCAACAAAGCATAGCGCAGGGCCCTGAGCTTCCAAGCTCTCTCGTTTTTTCCACACGTACATGCCTCCATTTTTTCCTTAGACATAATGTATATGCTGCAGAGCTCACTGACTTGTCAGTTTGAGCACTCTGGCAAGGTACATTCGGGCCTGGTTTAAATATTGTTTTGGAAAGTATATTTTTCATGGCTACCAGGTTCGGCTTCATATCCTCTGTGCTGCGCTAATGAGCCCACAAAGGACAAAACAGCCCTGTCCGCAGACTGAGTATTTCGCTACTGCTCTTGTAGCAGTTGATTGGAGTTGAGAACACACAAATGCTTCATCCACAAATCACGGAATGTGCTGGATAGTTTGAATTGTGCATCCGCACTCACCTACTTGGTACTTCCCAGGGAAGAGCAGCAACGAATACAACTAGTTTGCCGTGTGTGCGTTTGAGAGAGAGAGGGAGGGAGAGAGAGAGAGAGAGAGAGAGAGATAGAAGGAGGGAGAGAGAGAGAAAGATAGAGAGAGCTAAAGATAGATAGATAGATAGATAAATAGATAGCATAGCGTAGCCAGCAATCGCATGTCATCGCGTATATTGAACATTAATATATTTTGCAAATTGACCGTTTTTCAACATCACTTTTCATCGAGGACGAAAAAAAGTCGGCCGAACAAAGCCTTTAAGAAAAGCACTATCCCGTCCACTTCACCATTACAATACTGATATTGGAACGAAATGAAACGACTAAAAAATCCACAGGAAAACTGTACGACCACCGCAGAGCGAACTTTTGTCTGAGAATCAGTTTCTTGTCTTGTCAATGTATGAGGAATACTCTTTAATCAGCTACATTATGTACCTTTGTCGCTCTCTACTCCTTTTTCAAGGCACGGAAGTCATCTGTCCACTTTCAAACCGGTAACAAGACATGCTAATAGTCCTATTCAGCTGCTCCACGGGTGCGGGTAATGTTGACCAACGGCCGCAGAGCAACATCCATTCCAGAAAACAGCAAAAATAAGTGAAGCTTCATGCTTGAGTTCATGAGTACATGAGTAGAAGTTATGCATTAATTAGTCAATTTTCAGTGTTTCTGCTCAAAACAGCAACTAACTTTGGCTAGCTACAAAGATTACATCGAAGTATTAAACAACAACAGTATGCTTGCACCGTCTTCTAACCCCTCCCCGCAACCCTGAACGACCGGCTTGAGCCCATCCAACGGCGTGCCGCTCGCCTCTGTTTGCATCTCCCCCTCTTTGAACACAGAACCCACTCCGTGCTGCTGCACCGACTCAAATGGCCATCACTCAGCAGCCGCCGTACCCTGTCCCATATCCTTCTTGCACATAGCCTGCATCATATATATGCACCACCACACCTTCTTGCAATTCACCTACCCCGAATACAACCCATTCGCACGCTCAGGTTCCCCGAACATTTGAGCTACCCACAACACGTAAAAACTGGCTAGCAGCTAAACTTTGATCTCTCTGTATCTGATCCCCGTGCCTGTAATTATTTTTCTCGTATTGGCCACAGGCCATCGTGAGAATAAAAGATTTCAAACAACCATTTTCTTCAGTTTTTTTCGGTAGAAGGCTTCTGCTTGTGCTTGGCCCAGGCCAAAGATCACACCTCGAAGAAGTACGAAAATTACAACTCCCAGATGTCCTCGATTGCTGGCCATGGCTAGACAGATAGATAGATAGATAGATAAATAGAGAGAGACAGTGACAGAGACAGAGAGATACACAGAGAGAGAGACAGAAGTGGAGAGAGAGAGAGAGAGAGAGAGAGAGAGAGAGAGAGAGAGAGAGAGAGAGAGAGAGAGAGAGAGAGAGAGAGGAAGAGAGAGAAAGAGAGATAGAGATAGAGAGAGATAGAGAACAAGAGAGGTGAATAACTAGACAGATAGGATAAGAGCGAGAGTGAATGAGATAGAGAAAGAGAGAAATAACATGTGAAATGTAGTTGCCCATGATGATCCAGCCAGTGTGCTGAGAGTGCTTTGGCTGATGATTGCACACATCATTAAATGCAGATTTACTACAAATTAGCCTTGCCCTGCTGTTGTCCTATGATGAGCAATAGAGTGAAAGTGGTCACAAACACTTACTCTGACACTCTGGATTGTGATTCCATTTTCCACCGCTAGAGCAAACGACTGAAGAGCCATCCGATAAGCTGTAGCCAGTGTAACAAGATATGATTGCTACAGCGCCAATCGACTGGTTATGTGTGAGAACCATGCCATTGTCAGGAGATTGTAATGGAGCACAATAGTCAGGTATAACTGCAGGAACCAAGGGCACAAGAATCAATAAGAGAGAAAGATATAACTATGGTGGACTCAGTAGGCATTCGTTTCGAAATTGGATAAGCCTCCATTTTTTCCCTTAGCACTCTGGCAAGGTTACTCTGGCAAGGTACATTCGGGCCTGGTTTAAATATAGCTTTGGAAAATATACTTTTTCATTTCTATCAGGTTCGGTCTCATTTTCTCTGTGCTGCACGGATGAGTCCACAAAGGACGAAACAGCGGTGTCCGGAAATCGAGTATTTTGCTCCTGCTCTTGTAGCAGTTGAGCACTCTCGTGTGGGGTGGTGCCTTTGGTGCTTGCTTTATGGAGAGTTCAGTGACTTGCAAATTTGAGCACTCTGGCAAGGTGCGTTCGGGCCTGCTTTAAATAGTTATGGTATTCACGGGAAAATTTAATTTTCAATGCTATTTGGTTCGGCCTCATTTTTTCTGCACTGCTCTGATGAGTCCACAAAGGACGAAACAGTTCTGATTGAGTACTTCACTCCTGCTCTTGTCGCAGTTAAGCGCTCTTGTGTGGGGTGGAGATCACACACATGCTTCTTCCGGTAATCACGGAATGTGCTAAATAGTTTGAGCTGTGCATCGGCACACAACTACTTGGTACTTCACATGGAAGAGCAGCTAGAATTACAACTAGTTTGCTGCGTGTGGGGTTTGGAGAGAAAGAAAAAAGAAAGAGAGAGAGAGAGAGAGAGAGAGAGAGAGAGAGAGGGAGAGAGAGAGATAGAGAGATAGAGAGCCTAGAGAGGGAGAGAGAGAGAGAGAGAGAGAGAGAGAGAGAGAGAGAGAGAGAAAGAGAGAGAGAGAGACAGAGAGAGAGAGAGACAGAGAGAGAGAGAGAGAGAGAGACAGAGAGAGAGACAGAGAGACAGAGAGACAGAGAGACAGAGAGACAGAGAGACAGAGAGACGGAGATATAGAGAGATAGAGAGACAGAGAGACAGAGAGACAGAGAGACAGAGAAACAGAGAGACAGAGAGACAGGGAGACAGAAAGAGAGACACAGAGAGGGAGAGAGGGAAACAGAGATGAAGAGTGAGGGAGAGGGAGGGAGGGAGGGGGGGGGGGAGAGAGAGAGACAGAGAGAGAGGAAGAGATAGATAGGGACAGAGACTGGTAGACAGGAGAAAGACAGAGATTTATACTTGTGGTGTCTCTCTCTGTAGTACTAATGTTACTACTCTGCACTACTTCACTATCTATGTATTGCGCATGCGCACAAGAGCTTCTTGTTCCTTTTTAGTCTGGTCTTCTTCCAAGGCTTTTTCCAATAACAATAATGACTTGATGATGTTTGATCAATGGTTGGTACATAACAATTTGGCGACGAAGTAAAAGGATGGCCAAACAGGCAAAGTTAGAAGTATTTGATACTGGAGATTTCGAGGAGTATGCGGAACGTCTAGAGTTCTTTTTTATCGCAAATGACATTGGGCAGTTGGCCAGCTCTGCAAATGCTGCACAGAAGGATGCTGCGGATAAGAGAAAGGCTGCAGTACTCATCTCCCAGCTGTCAGCCAGCGCGTATACGAATTTAAAGAATTTGTGTCTTCCGAACAAACCTGGAAGCAAGAAGTACAACGACATTGTCAAAATCCTGACCACTTTCTATCGACCTCCTGTGAGTGCTGTTGCTGCGACGCATCAATTCAATCAAGCAGAGCAGAAGGAGGGAGAGAGAATTGTTGAATTTTCAGCTAGACTGAACGGGCTCGCTGTTGACTGCAAGTTCGGAGATCATCTGGACCGCGCCTTGCGCGACAATTTTGTAAAGGGTTTGGTTTCACACGCCATGACCAAGGAGATTCTCAGCAAGGCTGAGGATTCGGACACGTACGCCACCACAGTGGAGAGAGCTACGTTGTACGAGACAGCGTACAAGGATGCTGCAAGATTTGAACCTGCAACGACAGTGCATGCAGTGAAGTCGAGACGTCCCGGAGACAGCGCTCAGAGAAGTGAGAGAATGAGGTCAGCAGCCAGCACCAACGCCGAGAAATGTTTCCGTTGTGACAAACCTGGTCACAAAGCCGCCGACTGTTACTTCAAACAAACTGAGTGCAGGTACTGCAAGATCGTTGGCCATATCGAGAGAGCTTGCAAGAAGAAAAAAGCCCGAGCCGTGAAGTTCGTCCAGACCGAATATGACGACCAGGAAACCGGTGAGATCGAACCTGTGTCTGTGCCTCTGTCTCTTTACTACGTGAATGGAAATGCATACTCGAAAGTGGGTCCTTTCAAAATTGACGTAGATGTAAATGGGGCATCTGTGAATATGGAAGTAGATACAGGGAGTCCCGTAACGATCTTGAGTGAAAATGATTTTGTGCACGCAAACGGAAATTGCGAAAGGCTGGAAAAATCTACTATACGAATGCAAGGTTATACTGGTCAATCTATTGAATGTCTGGGTGAGATGTCACTACCTATCACTATCGAGGGTGACTGTCAACCTGTACTTGTACGTGTTGTATCGAATGGTCCATCCCTGCTGGGTCGAGACATGTTGTCAAGGTTTAAAATGCCATGGCACCTGTTCATTGAGCAAGAAGAAAACAGGCGTCAGCGAGTAAACCATGTGCGCGTACAGGATCTGATTGAGCGATTCCCAGAACTGTTCGACACTGAGGAAATTGGCAAATTGAATACAACGCAGATCACTCTGCATGTGGATGAATCAAATCCAGTGTTTTGCAAGGCACGGCCAGTACCCTTTTCGGTAAAGCAAAGATACGAAGAGTCACTGGATGCACTGGTGAAAGACGGAGTGCTCAAGAAAGTAGATCATGCTAAATGGGCATCACCAACGGTACCAGTAGAAAAACCAAATGGCAAAATACGACTGTGTGGCGATTACTCGTTAACAGTAAACAAGCACTCGGATTGTGAACACTATCCATTGCCAACACTTGAAGAGCTACGTGAAAAATTGGCAGGGGGCTGTAAGTTCACGAAATTGGACTTATCACAAGCCTATCATCAGCTAGAGCTAGATGAGGGAAGCCGAGCTTTCACTACCATCTCTACTCACAGAGGTCTGTTTGAGTATACGAGATTACCGTTCGGCATAAACTCGGCTGTGTCAATCTTTCAACGAACTATCGAACATGTTCTTGCGGATCTACCAGGCTGCATGGTGTACATTGACGATATCTTGATTACGGGTGCTAATGAAAACGAACATATGGCAAATCTGGAAAGGGTACTCAAACGTCTGCAGGAAGTTGGGCTGAAACTTAGACCAGACAAGGTGCGAATAATGGAAGATTCAGTTACCTATCTTGGACACCGATTTTCTGGAAGCGGAATGTCCCCCACTTCAGAAAAAGTGTCAGCTCTACGAAATGCGAAACCACCTGCAGGTGTCGCAGAACTCCAATCATTTATTGGGTCCGCTACCTATCTCAGTGCGTACATACCGAATTTTGCCGACATAATGGCCCCATTGTACACCTTGCTGAAAAAGGATGTGAAATGGCACTGGGACCAACGAGAAAATGAAGCTTTCCGCAAGGTGAAAGAAATATTAACGTCGGATCACGTATTGGCAAATTACTACCAGGAAAGAGAACTAATCTTGCAAACGGATGCTTCCGGAAAGGGTCTTGGAGCCGTTTTATTACAACCGGATAAGAGAGGGGTGCTGCGACCTATCGCATTCAAGTCTCGAATACTCACGAAAGCGGAACAAAATTACTCTCAAATCGAACGGGAAGCATTAGCAATTGTCTTTGGGACAAACAAATTTCAACAGTATTTGTTGGGTCGTGAGTTCGAAATTCGAACGGATCACAAACCGCTTCTCTCAATTCTGGATCCATCCAAACCAGTCCCTACAATGCTGTCAAATCGGTTAAAGAAATGGAGATTGTCACTGATCGCATATCGTTTCAAAATCACTCACATTCCTGGGAAAAGCAACCACATTGCAGATTTCCTGTCTCGTAGTCCAGTCGAAGGAGTGCCAACTGAAGCTGAAATGGTGACTGGGCACGTTCTTTTAATCTCAGAGGAGGGCATTGCAAATGCAGATCTCGTGGCACAAGAAACAAAGGGTGATCCATTACTTGGCAAGGTACTAACCTACACTCGGAAGGCATGGCCTGTAAGTGTCCCCACTGAATTGTTACCGTACTTCGCTCGAAGGTTTGAACTGACAGTGGAGGGTGATGTACTACTTTGGAATGATAGAGTAGTGATTCCGAGTTCACTTCAGAATGTTCTGTTGGGTGATCTACACTCAGAGCACATGGGCATAGTCCGTATGAAAAGAGTGGCGCGGAAATACCTGTGGTGGCCAAATCTTGACAACCAATTGGAAGAAACTGTGAAAATGTGTGATATTTGCCAGGCAAATGCTCGCTCACCACCGAAATCTTGCGGAACCTGGACTTGGCCTTCAGGACCATGGCGTCGAATCCACCTGGATTTTGCTGGACCTTACTTGGGTAAAATGTTTCTGGTAATTATCGATGCTCACACCAAGTTCTTAGATATCGTCCCAATGACTCATGCTACGACCAATGGCGTCATTGAGGCACTACGGCACTTGTTTGCGATTTTCGGTTTACCCGAGCATTTGGTGTCTGATAATGGCAGTCAGTTCACCAGCGAATCGTTCCAACGCTTTGTGCGTGAAAATGGCATTCATCACACGAAAACAGCGCCTGGACACCCAGCTACTAATGGGCTAGCTGAACGCTATGTTGGGTACTTCAAAGAGAAGATGAAGTTAATGACCGTGGATCGGTGTGATGAAACGCTCAACACAAAGTTGTGCCGTTTCTTACTGTCGCATCGCACGACACCGTTGGCAAATGGAAAAACTCCAGCGGAGCTTATGTTTAACCGCCAACCCCGTACCCGTTACGATGTGTTACGCCCCTCCGAAACCAAGCGTAGTGTGGAGCGTTTTGAAGAATCGCTAAATGAACAACCCGAGTTCACAAATGGTCAGACAGTATTTGTTTTGAACTTTGGGCGTCATGGTAGCAAATGGATTCCTGGTATTGTGTTGTCAACTCTGAGTTCGTACAATTACCAGGTGCAAGTTGGAGACAGTGTTTGGAAGAGACACCGTAACCAGATCCGACCACGCGCTCTACCAGCTAGCATGTTTGCTACCGACAAGGGTGAACAACCACCGCAACTACCGGATACTCGCCATGCTTCTCTCAACGTGAATGGAAGTTTCAGTGGACAGTGTCGCGAGTCTACACCAGCTAACAGCAGCAAGGAGTCAAGTCAACCAGCTAACAGCAGCAAGGAGTCAAGTCTACAAGTGCCAACTCCACAGTGCGCTGCTCAACTGACTGGATCTGAACAGATTCTGACGCAAGATACACTACCTGAGACAGATCAGAGTAGTAAGTCGTCCAGCAGTGGTAAGTCTGTTACGATCGCTGTGCGTCGTTCTTCGCGTCAGTCACATCCACCTGGCAGACTGATTGCTTCCCAGTGAGTCTAGGATTGCCTGATAGACTGGTGGACTGATTATGACACGCTGATGGACTTTTTCAATATTGGGACATTATGATAGATCGATTGTTAATTATGTCGACTGACATGATTTCTAACCTTGGAACACTGTGTATTGTAGTTGACATAATTATTACCGTATATACCCCATCTGCGAACATAGATATCTATTAATACAGTCAGTATCTGTATCACAAGTAGATTACTGACATTTCATATTACACTAGTACTACTTTGTGCATGAACGATAAATTATATTTTTTTTGTTTTTTTTTGTTTTTTTTGCTTGTTTTTTTTAAGGGGGAGGAATTGTGGTGTCTCTCTCTGTAGTACTAATGTTACTACTCTGCACTACTTCACTATCTATGTATTGCGCATGCGCACAAGAGCTTCTTGTTCCTTTTTAGTCTGGTCTTCTTCCAAGGCTTTTTCCAATAACAATAATGACTTGATGATGTTTGATCAATGGTTGGTACATAACATACTAAGAGAGAAAGCTAGAGACAGAGACACGCAGCGAGGAAATAGAAAACAGAGAGACAGAGACAGAGACAGATACATCGAGAGAGAGAGAGAGAGAGAGAGAGAGAGAGAGAGAGAGAGAGAGAGAGAGAGAGAGAGAGACATAGAGAGAGAGAGAGAGAGAGAGAGAGAGAACGAGAGAGAGACAGAGACAGAGAGAGAGAGACAGAGAGAGAGAGGGAGAGAGAGTGAGAGAGAGAGAGAGAGAGAGAGAGAGAGAGAGAGAGGGAGAGAGAGAGAGAGGGAGAGAGAGAGAGAGAGATAGATAAATAGATAGCATAGCGTAGCCAGCAATCTCATGTCATCGCGTATATTGAAAATTAATATATTTTGCAAATTGACCGTTTTTCAACATCACTTTTCATCGAGGACGAAACAAAGTCGGCCGAACAAAGCCTTTAAGAAGACAACTATTCCGTCCACTTCACCATTACAATACTGATATTGGAACGAAATGAAACGACTAAAACATCCACAGGAAAACTGTACGACCACCGCCACGCGGACGTTTGTCTGAGAATCAGTTTCTTGTCTTGTCAATGTAAGAGGAATACTCTTTAATCAGCTACATTATGTACCTTTGTCGCTCTCTACTCCTTTTTCAAGGCACGGAAGTCGTCTGTCCACTTTCAAACCGGTAACAAGACATGCTAGTAGTCCTATTCAGATGCTCCACGGGTGCGGGTAATGTTGACCAAGGGCCGCAGAGCAACATCCATTCCAGAAAACAGCAAAAATAAGTGAAGCTTCATGCTTGAGTTCATGAGTACATGAGTAGAAGTTATGCATTAATTAGTCAATTTTCAGTGTTTCTGCTCAAAACAGCAACTAACTTTGGCTAGCTACAAAGATTACATCGAAGTATTAAACAACAACAGTATGCTTGCACCGTCTTCTAACCCCTCCCCGCAACCCTGAACGACCGGCTTGAGCCCATCCAACGGCGTGCCGCTCGCCTCTGTTTGCATCTCCCCCTCTTTGAACACAGAACCCACTCCGTGCTGCTGCACCGACTCAAATGGCCATCACTCAGCAGCCGCCGTACCCTGTCCCATATCCTTCTTGCACATAGCCTGCATCATATATATGCACCACCACACCTTCTTGCAATTCACCTACCCCGAATACAACCCATTCGCATGCTCAGGTTCCCCGAACCTTTGAGCTACCCACAACACGTACAAACCGGCTAAGGGACCCCCTATCTATGCTTCTCTTGATCTCTTTAATAGCATTCCACTCAGCCTCCGGCAAATCAACCCCAGACGAGATTTCAAAGCAAACATCCTACCACTTGTCATCTCTTCCGTAGGTACTTGCTCACATTGCTCAGCACATCTATAGCTCCATTGTGCCCAGCCTATGTGACAAACTCCCTATTGCCATCGCTACTGCCTCAGCAAGCAGCTAAACTTTGATCTCTCTGTATCTGATCCCCGTGCCTGTAATTATTTTTCTCGTATTGGCCACAGGGTTTTTTTTCGGCAGAGGGCTTCTGCCTGTGCTTGGCCCAGGCCAAAGATCACACCTCGGAGAAGTACGCAAATTACAACTCCCAGATTTCCTCGATTGCTGGCCATGGCTATACAGATAGATAGATAGATAAATAGACAGAGACAAAGACAGAGAGAAACAGAGAGAGACAGAAGTAGAGAGAGAGAGAGAGAGAGAGAGAGAGAGAAAGAGAGAAGTAGAGAGAGATAGAGAACAAGAGAGGTGAATAACTAGATAGAGAACAAGAGAGGTGAATAACTTGATAGATACACAGAGGCAATATGCTTTGGTTCTGCAAGAGTGCTCAATGCCTGATTCAGGCAGAGCGGCGTATATAAAGGCACACAATGAAAACCTTGGCAAACAACGGAATTAATTTGCCAAGGTTTTCATCGTGTGCCTTTGTGTAACTAGATAGATAGGATAAGAGTGAGAGTGAATGAGATAGAGAAAGAGAGAAAAAACATGTGAAATGTAGTTGCCCATGATGATCCAGCCAGTGTGCTGAGAGTGCTTTGGCTGATGATTGCACACATCATGAAATACAGATTTACTACAAATTAGCTTTGCCCTGCTGTTGTCCTATGATGAGCAATAGAGTGAAAGTGGTCACAAACACTTACTCAAACACTCTGGATTGTGATTCCATTTTCCACCGCTAGAGCAAACGACTGAAGATGCATCAGATAAGTTGTAGCCAGTGTTACAATACACGATTGCTACGGCGCCAATGGACTGATTATGTCTGAGAACCATGCCGTTGTCAGGAGATTGTACTGGATCACAATAGTCAGATATAACTGCAAGAACCAAGGGCACAAGAATCAATAAGAGAGAAAGATATAATTATGGTGGACTCAGAAGGCATTCGTTTCGAAATTGGATAAGCCTCCATTTTTTTCCCTTAGCACTCTGGCAAGGTTACTCTGGCAAGGTACATTCGGGCCCGGTTTAAATATAGCTTTGGAAAATATACTTTTTCATTTCTATCAGGTTCGGCCTCATTTTCTCTGTGCTGCACGGATGAGTCCACAAAGGACGAAACAGCGGTGTCCGGAGATCGAGTATTTTGCTCCTGCTCTTGTAGCAGTTGAGCACTCTCGTGTGGGGTGGTGCCTTTGTTGCGTGTGTTATGGAGAGTTCAGTGACTTTCAAGTTTGAGCACTCTGGCAAGGTGCGTTCGGACCTGCTTTAAATAATTATGGTACAGGTCCTCCCTCGTTAGTAGATAAACTCTGGGCCATCGAAAAAGTTATCTTATAACGAGACTTATCTTGTAGCAGGACTTGCAGCTAAAGGTGAAATAGGCACTACTTCGTACTTACCGGGGCTACCCTCGAAACAACATAAATTATCGATGCTTCAACTCGTTATAAGATAATTGAAAATCTCCAACATAACTCTTCCTTGGATGCAAACGATCGTCCATATTCACGAATACATAAACATAATGCGTTTCCTCTTTCGGCTTTATCCAACGTGGTTTGGCCTTGGTCCTGCATGGTCAATATTGTCTTATACTGAGGGTTTGGCACTCCAGGGACCTGGGCAAAAGGTCGTTATAACGGATTTTATGTACTAACGGATTATGTTGTAACCGGACCTGTAAACAGTTGTATAGACCATGTTTCGCCAGGGGGTTTCAGATTTCTATTTACTAAGGGGTTTATGTTCTAACCGGACTCGTTATAATGAGGGAGGACCTGTATTGGAAAATTTAATTTTCAATGCTATTTGGTTCGGCCTCATTTTTTCTGCACTGCTCTGATGAGTCCACAAAGGACGAAACAGTTCTGATTGAGTACTTCACTCCTGCTCTTGTCGCAGTTAAGCGCTCTTGTGTGGGATGGAGATCACACACATGCTTCTTCCGGTAATCACGGAATGTGCTAAATAGTTTGAGCTGTGCATCGGCACACAACTACTTGGTACTTCACATGGAAGAGCAGCTAGAATTACAACTAGTTTGCTGCGTGTGGGGTTTGGAGAGAAAGAAAAAAGAAAGAAAGAGAGAGAGAGAGAGAGAGAGAGAGATAAAGAGAGATAGAGAGAGAGAGAGAGAGATAGAGAGAGAGAGAGAGCCTAGAGAGAGAGACAGAGATAGAGAGAGAGAGAGAGAGAGAGAGAGAGAGAGAGAGAGAGAGAGAGAGACAGAGAGACAGAGAGACAGAGAGACAGAGAGACGGAGATATAGAGAGACAGAGAGACAGAGAGACAGAGAGACAGAGAGACAGAGAGACAGAGAGACAGAGAGACAGAGAGACAGAAAGAGAGACACAGAGAGGAAGAGAGGGAAACAGAGATGAAAAGTGAGGGAGAGGGAGGGAGGGAGGGAGGGGGGGGGGGGGGAGAGGGAGAGACAGAGAGATAGGGAGAGATAGAGAGGGATAGAGACTGGTGGACAGGAGAGGGATAAAGATTTATACTAAGAGAGAAAGCTAGAGACAGAGACACACAGCGAGGAAATAGAAAACAGAAAGATAGATACTTCGAGAGAGAGAGAGAGAGAGAGAGAGAGAGAGAGAGAGAGAGAGAGAGAGAGAGAGAGAGAGAGAGAGAGAGAGAGAGAGAGAGAGAGAGAGAGAGAGAGAGAGCAGAGAGAGAGAGAGAGAGAATGATAGAGAGAGAATGAGAAAGAGAGAGAGGGAGAGAGAGAGAGAGAGAGAGAGAGAGAGAGAGAGAGAGAGAGAGAGAGAGAGAGAGAGAGAGAGAGAGAGAGAGAGAGAGAGAGAGAGAGAGAGAGAGAGAGAGAGAGAGAGAGGGAAAGAGAGAGAGAGAAAGAGGGGAAGAGAGAGGGAGAAAGAGAGAGGGAGAGGGAGAGAGAGAAAGATAGATAGATAGATAGATAGGTAGATATACAGATAGACAGAAAGACAGACAGACAGACAGACAGACAGACAGACAGACAGACAGACAGACAGACAGACAGACAGACAGACAGACAGACAGACAGAGATAGAGATAGAGATAGATAGATAGATAGAGAGAGAGAGAGAGAGAGAGAGAGAGAGAGAGAGAAAGAGAGAGAGAGAGAGAGAGGGAGAGAGAGAGAGAGAGAAAGGGAGAGACAGAGCAAGATAGATGAAGAACTAGATAGATAGGATAAGAGTGAGAGTGAATGATACAGAAAAAGAGAGAAAAACATATGAAATGTAGTTGCCCATGATGATCCAGCCAATGTGCTAAGAGTGCTTTAAGCTGATGATTGTGTAGAATAGGCCAATGATTACTTGAGTACTACTGTAATCGTACATTTGAATTTCGTATTTCCTGCTCCTGTCCACGTGACGAATCGCTGGCCTTGTAAGCCGCGCTCATGCTCACGTGCTCCTTGCTTTCTCTTCTCCTCTATGACAAATTTTACTATCGATATGAGCAATTTGAGTGCCTGGTGAAGCCTGAGAATGGGAATCTTGTCTTAGGAAAGGGAATCCTACATTGGTGGCAGCAGTGGGATTCGAACCCACGCCTCCGGAGAGACTGGATGATGTCCTGAATGGCAGCGAATTGCTGTCTGGCCACTTCCAGATTCTGCTGCCCGTGTTCGCGCGAGTTCGGTCCGCTGGGCAGCGGTTCAATCTGAAGAAATGCTCCTTCTTCCAAGAGGAGGTCACTTTCTTAGGACACCGCGTGTCAGCGGAGGGCATATCCCCGGATGAGGACAAACTCATTGCGGTCAGGAACTGGAAGACTCCGAAATCTGTCAGAGCTGTCCACAAGTTCCTTGGCTTCGCCGGATATCATCGCCGCTTCATCCGCGGGTTCGCCCAGCGTGCTGCTCCGCTGACTGCTCTGGCAGGCAAGAATGCTCCCTTTGCATGGGAGAAAGCTTGCGAAACGGCATTCCAGGTGCTGAAGCGTTCGCTTACCAGTGCGCCGGTGATGGCGTGCCCCCAGTTTGAAGATTCAGCGGGTGCATTCATTCTGGACACCGATGTGAGCAATGTGTCGATTGGTGCGGTCCTCAGCCAGGTCCAGGATGGAACTGAGCGACCAATCGCATACAGCAGCCATGTACTGATGAAAGCTGAGCGCAACTACGATGCTAGCGATCGTAAGGCCCTTGCGCTGGTCTAGTTTGCGGAGTATTTCAGGCACTACTTGTTGGCACGACCATTTGTTGCCAGGACGGACAATACTGCGTTGACTGCACTCCGGAACCTGAAGGAACCCCGTGGACGGAAAGCACGTTGGCTTGACTGTTTATCCGAATATGAATTCCGAGTCGTCCACCGTCCAGGTCGCCAACATCTGAATGCTGATGGTCTGTCGCGCTTGTTAGCCAAACCTGAAGCACATGTGCACAGTGAGTCTCCGCCACTGGCACCAACGCCGCCGCAAGATGCTGCTCCGGCTCCGCCGCCGCGAGATGCTGCGCCGGCTACATCCAGTGGTGCCACCGTTGAGCTGAATGATCTATCATCTGCTGCCAGTGGCGGATTTAGAGGGGGGGGGGGGGGGGGGGGGCGAAGGGGGCACGTGACCCCCCTTCAAAAGCGCCGACCGACTTTTTTTTTTTACTGATCTCGATCGAAACCGAGCTCGCGCGCACTTCCTGTGTAGATGACAAGACCCAGTCGCTGTACTGCATGCACTGTACACATTCATGCACTGGTTCACCGGGTCCGTAGATCGATACGCGGTACGCGTGTACTGAACTTGTGAACTGTCAACTCTCGTCGCGTCGATCTGTATTCCGCGATCCGCGATCCGTGCGCACCAGAACTACGGTTTTGGTCTAGTACTGCACTGTACTCGTACTACGAAAACTAAGACGGTACAAGTGCAAGTACACAGTCCAAAACTTCGCATGGCAATGCGTAGATTTTCCTGTCCTTGCCTTGCAAACTTCACTTGCCTTGGCGTTCGTTGGCGTCTCGTTCCCAAATGTCCAGCGTATTTTGACGATTCTGCTTGTTGCACCGGTCACAACAGCAACTGTTGAGCGCAGCAACTCCGCACTTGGCTACATCAAGACCAAGTTGCGCAGCACCATGGGCAATCAGCGTCTCAACGACCTGATTCTACTCTTCGTCCATAAGGACATCGCCCTTGATGTGGATGCCGTCATCGACCGGTTTGCACGGATGAAGCCCAGGCGTATGCTGCTTTCCAACGCAATCACTGCTGATAGCTGAACTAATAGTACGAGTATTTCACACTTGCATACCAGCATTAGAAATTAATCATTTAACTATACAACTTGAACTAAATAATTACATCAATTCATAAAACATCACAAACATCATAAAACAGGTCTTTTTCCGTTTGGTTGGTACAATTGCTGATTGTTATATTATACCAATAGTGCCCATACATTTACATGTTCGAGTATCACAAAAGTCATTGTAAAAGTAAACTTGTTCCATTGAGCCTGTAGTGTGCCCCCCCCCTTGTTTCGGATCCTGGATCCGCCACTGTGCTGCTATAGCTGATGCTCAACGCTCTGATGACATTTCTGGTGTTAGTCGAACTGTCAAGATTATCTGGTCACAGATTGATCAGTTGTCTTTGCATCATTGGATTCCGTCTTGTATGTACTGCCTCCTTTTGAGGATCAAGACCACGTTGGTGAGTCACCCCGTCTGGTCGTACCATGCTCACTTCAGGAGCGAGCCATGATCGCCGTACATTCTCTTCCTACTGCTAACCATCCTGGTGTGGAGAAAACCCTGTCTCAAGCTCGTCTGCGTTTCTACTGGGTTGGAATGGCTTCTGACATCACCGAATTTGTTCGATGCTGTCACACCTGTGCACAGATTCGAGCGAAGAATCAAACAAACCATGCACCACTTCAGCCAATTATTGCCGGTTATCCGTTCGAAATTGTTGCCTTGGACATTGTAGGTCCTCTGCCTGAAACGTCACAGGGCCATAAGTATCTCCGGATATCTGCCGTCTCCTTGGTATCCGGAAGACGCAAACCACACCGTATCATCCTTCTGGCGATGGTCTGGTGGAGCGCGTCAACCGCACTCTCCTAGGTCTTCTGCGTGCCCACATTACTCCAACCAGTACGGAGTGGGATGCAACGTTCCCTCTCGTCTTGTTGTCATATCGTGCTGCAGTGCATAAGTCCACTGGATTCAGTCCAGCGCGCCTTCTGTATGGTGCGGATGTCCGGTTACCAGCTGATATTGTGTTCAAATTACCTTCGCCACCTTCCACTGATATGCATACCTATGTCCGTAGTCTCGACAATTCTCTGCGGAATATTCACGTTGAAGCCCGTCATAATGCTGATCTTGCTCATGCGTCTCAAGAACAGTTCTATCACCGTCGCGGTCATGGTGAGCCTTATGTTGTCGGTCAGCAAGTATATCTTCATGATCCAGTTATCCGTGCTGGCGAGCACCGTAAATTTTATCGTTTCTGGTCTGATCCACATACTATTGTGTGTGTTCATGGTCCGACATCATACACGCTATTGCTGAATGGAGTGGAACGTACTGTTCACTTCAATCGCTTGAAGCCAGTTACTTTATCGTGCCCAGTTACCTTACCGTCTTCTGTCAATGATCTCCCCGACCCAGTGAGTTTGTCAGCTAATGACTTTGTCCCTGTTGTGCCACATGATGCCGATGACTCTGTGCCGAGTACGCCTCCGTTGTCGCCGCATGTTGCCGTATCACCTCTACCTCCTCCCTATTGCTACTTCAGTATTAGTGCGTCGATCAGGCCGGATCCGCACTGTTACTGCGAGATATGGTGACTATGTTTTGTAGTAAGGTCATTGTATACCCGTAATTGTTTCTTCTTCTATATTATAACTTTAATTGTTTTGCCCTGCTTGCCTATTATTCACGAGGCCGTGAATGGTGAGAGGAGGGGAATTGTGTAGTATAGGCCAATGATTACTTGAGTATTACTGTAGTCATTGCATGACGATTGTTATTTCTTACATTTGTATTTCGTATTTCCTGCTCCTGTCCACGTGACGAATCGCTGGCCTTGTAAGCTGCGCGCATACTCACATGTTTCTTGCTTTTCTTTCTCTTCTCCTCTATGACAAGTTTTACTATCTGTGATATCCGTACTAGTGAGCTACCTCACGTGATAGATCATTATCTTTCTACTCCTCTACTCTAAGTTTGTATCAGCCGCGCATGCTTTTCCGTTGTGCTGCTGAGCTTCTCTGTCGTTCTAGCTTTGATCTTGAAGTCAACCGTTCCCCTTTTGTCTTGTCCTGAACTGCTCTGGTGCGATCATAATACTATCGATATGAGCAATTTGAGTGCCTGGTGAAACCTGAGAATGGGAATCTTGTGCTAGGAAAGAGAATCCTACAATTGCACACATCATGAAATACAGATTTACTACAAATTAGCCTTGCCCTACTGTTGTCCTATGATGAGTAACAGAGTGAAAGTAGTGGTCACAAACACTTACTCAAACACTCTGGATTGTGGTTCCATTTTCCACCGCTAGAGCAAACGACCGAAGAGACATTAGATAAGTTGTAGCCAGTGTAACAAGATATGATTGCTACGGCGCCAATCGACTGATTACGTGTGAGAACCATGCCGTTGTCAGGAGATTGTACTGGATCACAATAGTCAGATATAACTGCAAGAACCAAGGGCACAAGATTCAATAAGAGAGAAAGATGTAATTATGTTGGACTCAGTAGGCATTCGTTGTCCTATAAACAGTGGAAAGTACAGTAGGAAGTCAAACTCATGATCTAATTACTACGTCCGACAAGCCAAACTTGGCGCGTATTTTTATAGTTCAAATGACTCGAAATAACTCACGCTTCACAATCGAAAATAGAGATCTGCTCACCAAAATGAAACTTGTTATTGCTCAACAAGGACGTAAGAGAGATCGGTTAGTCTGAATCACTCTCCTCTGATTCAGAGATCTCAGCGTCTTGTGGAGAGGAATTGTCGCTGTCGTCAGACGAAGGTGTGACTATAATAGAGCTTATTCAGTTGCAGCAAATAACTCGGCTGTGATCGCTCTGCAAATAACTAGGCTGTGATCGCTCTGCAAATCTCGCTGTTGCTTCTGTGTGCTGTGCTTGAGAGCCACGATGTTGAGGATAGCCATTTCCGCCGCCACTCTCCAGAATGCCGTAGTAATAACTCCATGGTTTTGCTTCGACATACGGAAGAACGACGATTCTCCTTCACAGAATGGAAGCACGCGCACTTGTGCTGGTACAGGGAAGACTTGCCTGCCTCAACAACCGTCTACCTCTTGACCATCAAAGACTTCGTCAAACGATTTTACCGGCACTTGAAAATACTAGTACGCCTTGGAATGTATCGCTTTGAATCTCAGCGATTACAGCCTTTCCTGGTGAAGTGAGCCCTACATATTTGTTAACCTATTGACACTACACAGAAGAGGGAGATTTGGATTCCAACAAAAGAATATTTTCAGCTCCAAAGAGATAAACCAAAGTATCCACCTTGTGCGTTCTTTGTTCTCTGTCGCGTCCTCTTTGTAACTGACACGAATACCGTGTGTGTACTTGTACCCGCATTTACACCCAAACAGGCAACCACATCATTCAAATTCATGTAACTGCATGTTGGAGTGGGATAGAAAAGAGAGACAGAGAGAAAAAGTGGAAGGGAGAGAGGGAGAGACAGAGACAGAGATACAGAGAGGCGGAGAGACAGGAGAGAGAAAATGGGAAGAAGAAAGATACAGTCGACCTACCCTTATAACGATAACCTCTATAACGATATTACCCTTATAACGATATTTTTTCTGGCAAACCAAATCACTCCATTGACTTGTGTATACAATGCCTTACCTCTATAACAATATTGCTATAACGATATTACCCCTATAACGATATAAAATGGGCTGACCAATCGACATTTTCCATTTTTATAACAATATCTAGCAGGGGATATGTAAAGCCCACTATCAAGGTAGGGCAAGCTTCACTCGATAAGTCGCTGGGACATGATGAAGTGCAATGGGGGCACCAGTAGGCACCTTGCTGTGTACACAATGGGCATGTACGTCAGTTTTCTGCTATAAAGAGTGTAAAAAATGAACAAAATCCATGCATTATGACGTATGTGTATGAAATGTACCAGTTACCCTTATAACAATATTACCCTTATAACAAGATTTCTTGGTTTGACGCAAATATCGTTATAAGGGTAGGTCCACTGTAACTAATTTCGTTGGTCAGGATGATGAATCCAGTGTGGTGAGTGTACTTTTCACTGATGATTTCATCTATCAAGAAACACAGATTTCCAAGAAACCAGCTTTTCTCTACAGTTCTAGCGTTACAATTAGTTTCTCACCCCCCCCCCCCCCCCCCCCCCCGTTGCACCCCCGTACCTCCGTTGCACTTAGCTCTCACTTCAGTTCTATTGTCTCACCTTCCCGCATTCTATTTTAGCACTATATTTTGTTCTCGTAACACAATATTGAATGTATATTTATTCATTGTTCAGCATTGTTACTCTTCAGTCGCGACTTTCCACTGATGAATGTGACAAGAAAATCGATCTTGGTAAACTTTCATGACTTCGTTGTAGTGTGGCGATGACAGCAGAATTTGTTCTCTTTATTGCTATTATAAAATGTTCTACAATTGTTCCACTTTGAGGAATAGTATGAATGCGGTCACATAAACTTACTCTCACACTCTGGATTGTGATTCCATTTTCCACCGCTAGAGCAAACGACTGAAGATACGTCCGATAAGTTGTAGCCGGTGTTACAAGACACGATTGCTACGGCGCTAATCGACTGATTATGTGTGAGAACCATGCCGTTGTCAGGAGCTGTTACTGGATCACAATAGTCAGATATAACTGCAAGAAGCAATAGTGGACAAGAAACAATAAGAAAAAATATAATACATTATATGCTGTGTGCGTTATGCAGAGCTCACTGACTTGTCAGTTTGAGCACTCTGGCAAGGTACTTTCGGGCTTGGTTTTAACATTGCTTTGGAAAATTTATTGTTCATTGCTATCAGGTTCGGCATCATTTTCTCTGTGCTGCTCTGATGAGTCCACAAAGGACCAAACAGTTTCATCCGCAGATCGAGTATTTCGCTCCTGCTCTTGTAGTATTTGAGCACTCTCGTGTGGGGTGGAGATCACGCACATGCTTCATCCGCTAATCACGGAATGTGCTGGATAGTTTGAACTGTTCATCAAAACTCAACTACTTGGTACTTCACATGGAAGAGCAGCTACAAATACAACTAGTTTGCTAGTTTGCTGTGGGCAAGATTAATACAGATGGAGAGAGAAAGAGAGAGAGAGAGAGAGAGAGAGAGAGAGAGAGAAAGAGAGAGAGAGAGTGTGTGAGAGAGAGAGAGAGAGGGGGGGGGGGCGGGGAGAGAGAGATAGAGAGTAAGTTACATTCATAAAGACAGGTAAGTCTAACAAATGAGGACTGAGACCTCTACAACAGGGTTTTTACGCTTGAAAGCAGGTGCACGATTTAACAAGCAAGTTGTCAGTCTAGATTTTAAGCGCAGACGGAGAAAAAATGCGCAGAATTTTTGTAATGAGATGAAAAGCAGAAATAATAAGAAAATTAATAATAAGAAAAAATGAAATGAAAGCCTGCTCACAACCCCGCCCAGCCTTGCGAACTGGGTATGGTGGATTAAGAACCCGGTTCAATGCTCGAGCAAGCGCTCTCCACTCAAGGTGTTCACAGCAACTAATAGGAACTCATATGGTGAAATTATAGAAAAGAAATAATAAGAGAAAGAGAATAAATTTCAACGCACCTCAATAAACGGAGCCCCACATACAGTACCTCAGAAAAGTGGATCTTCCGACCAGTGTTTTTGTTGACGTAGCAACCAGATGATGTAGCTGCTTCGCAGAGACGCCTTACTGCACAAATTACAAATAAATTTTATTCTTCGATTAGAAAACCCAAGCGCTTTCAGAGCCCTCCGAAGAGAGTCCGGGATGAAACCACGCACACCTACCTCAACCGAAAAAGAAACGACCTGCCACCCGTTTGCTCGGCATTGATCGGCCAGATCCGCATACCGCCTGTCCTTCCGCGAGTTACTGACACTGAATCTGTCCTCAGCACAAACTGTCAACTCCATCCAGAATACAATCCTACGACTCGTAGACTACAGAACTATATCTGGTCTTAGGGTGGTAAGTGCAACACAGCTAGGGAAAGAAATCTTTGCACTAACTGAGTCGACAAGAAGTTTCCAGTCTGAGGCCGCTGAACGGAGATCATTCGTAACCAACTTCCGTCTGGACTGAACGCGAACTGGCTTCTCTCCCGCCTTGCAAAACGAGATGAAGCCAAGGTCATTTGAATTTTCGGTTTGTACGGTGTTTGCAGCAGTGCGGATTCGAATCTCCTCACGCATGTTCCTGACGATGACCCCGAGTACGTTGTCGTGCTTCCAGGTGTAACGTCCCTGGTCCAGCGCTACGCGACAAGCGCCAAGCACGTGGCGCGTAGTACAGGCCCAGGAGAGAGAGAGAGAGAGAGAGAGAGAGAGAGAGAGAGAGAGAGAGAGAGAGAGAGAAAGGGACGGACAGAGAGACGGACAGAGAGACAGAGAGGCAGAGAGAGAGACAGAAGGAGACAGAGAGAGAGAGGAAAAGAGAGACAGAGAGAGACAGAGACAGAGAGGCCGAGAGAGACAGAAGGAAACACAGAGAGAGGAAAAGAGAGGCAGAGAGACAGAGACACAGAGAGACAAAAGAGAAAGAGGGATAAAACCAGACAGACAGACAGACAGACAGACAGAGAAAGAGAAAGACAAACAAAGATAGGCAGGGGAGGGAGAGAGAGAGAAAGAGAGAGAGTGAGAGAGCAAGAGAGATGAATAGCTAGAAGGATATAATGAGAGTGAGAGTGAATGAGATAGAGAAAGAGAGAAAAAAACATGTGAAATGTAGTTGCCCATGATGATCCAGCCAGTGTGCTGAGAATGCTTTGGCTGATGATTGCACTCATCATGAAATGCAGATTTACTACAAATTAGCCTTGCCCTGCTGTGGTCCTATGATGAGCAATAGAGTGAAAGTGGTCACAAACACTTACTCTGACACTCTGGATTGTGATTCCATTTTCCACCACTAGAGCAAACGACTGAAGAGACATCAGATAAGTTGTAGCCAGTGTTACAGGACACGATTGCTACGGCGCCAACCGACTGATTATGTGTGAGAACCATGCCATTGTCAGGAGATTGTACTGGATCACAATAGTCAGATATAACTGCAAGAACCAAGGGCACAAGAATCAACAAGGGAGGAAGATGTAATTATGTTGGACTCAGTAGGCATTCGTTGTCCAATAAACAGTGGAAGGTACAGTAGGAAATCAAACTTATGATCTAGTTACTACGTCCGACAAGCCAAACTTGGCGTTTTTTTTAGTTCAAATCACCCGATATAACTCACCCTTCACAATCGAAAATAGCGATTGATTCACCAAAATGCAACTTGTTATTGCCCAAAAAAGACGTAAGAGAGATCGGTTAATCAGAATCAGTCTCCTCTGATTCGGAGAGCGCACGTTCCTGTGGAGAGGAATTGTCTCTGTCGTCAGACGAAGGTGTGACTATAATAGAGCGGATTCAGTTGCAGTAAGTACCTCGGCTGTGATCGCTCTGCAAGTCTTGATGTAGTTTATGTGTGCTGTGCTCGAAAGCATATGTTTACTGCACAAATAGAGAGGTTCTGCAAAACGAAAATGTGTACGAACTTTCGCTCTACGTCACATAGTGAGAAACTTCGCACGAACTTTCGCAACTTTGGAGGCGAAACTTGCAGGGAACGCGAAATGAACTTTCGTAGGAAGTTTCGTGAGATTGGGTCATGTCGTAGGTGCACTTGGCGCGTGCAAACTACGAAAATGTGCAGAACACAAAGTTCGTGCGAAAATTCGTACACATTTTCGCAAGGCCTGTCGCGAAACTTCGTTCGAATTTTCGTTGTGCAGAACCTCTCTAATGTCGACCTCTATTCAGTCACTCACAAAACAGCCATTGTGCTAAACCGATCTTTAGTTCTCTATTAGAAGTGCGCGATGTCATCTCTCTCCGGCTATACATAAAGCGGTACAAGCACGTGCATTCCTACACATGCGTACATAGCATTAGGGGTGAATGGGGTGATTCAGGTACCTGGGTGCCCGCCTGTTTAGCTGCTGATCCGTTAGCAAACGATTACCCGTTAGTCGTGAACGAAGGTACAGTACGGATTCATTAGCTGGCTTGGACAGTCGTACAGTTCGACTCATAGTTGGAATTTTTTGTTGGTTGTTTGATCTTGCTTCATACGACAATTTTGACTGTTTTGCATGTAGCGCATGAGGCCGCTGACAGGAGATCAGTCGTAACAACGCTGACGCCGAGACCTCTGGTTGGTTGAGTTGCTCCCAGCGCATCAGCACGTCGTCCCTACATGCCCTATGTTTTGTCCTTTTCCTCGTTTCTTTTTGTTCTCCACCTGTTTTCCAGTAGGGCTGTGTCAGTAGTAAAAAAAAAAAAAGAAGAAAAAAGAGAAAGAGGGAGAGGGAGAGAGAGAGAGAGAGAGAGAGAGAGAGAGAGAGAGAGAGAAAGAGAAAGAGAAAGAGAGAGAGAGAGAGAGAGAGAGAGAGAGAGAGAGAGAGAGAGAGAGAGAGAGAGAGAGAGAGAGAGAGAGAGAGAGGCAGAGAGAGACAGAAGGAGACCCAGAGAGAGAAAAAGAGTGGCAGAGAGACAGAGACACGGAGAGACAAAAGAAAAAGAGGGAGAAAGCCAGACAGACAGACAGACAGACAGACAGACACACCGACAGACAGACAGAAAGACAGACAGATAGACAGACAGACAGACAGACAGACAGACAGACAGACAGACAGACAGGCAGACAGACAGGAAGACAGACAGAGAAAGAGAAAGACAAGGAGAAGAGAAAGGAAGGTAGAGGGAGAGAGAGAGTTGAATAGCCAGATAGATATAATGAGAGTGAGAGTGAATGAGATAGAGAAAGAGAGAAATAACAGGTGAAATGTAGTTGCCCATGATGATACAGCCAGTGTGTTGAGAGTGCTTTGGCTGATGATTGCACACATCATGAAATGCAGATTTACTACAAATTAGCCTTGCCCTGCTGTGGGCCTATGATGAGCAATAGAGTGAAAGTGGTCACAAACACTTACTCTGACACTCTGGATTTTGATTCCACTTTCCACCACTAGTGCAAACGACTGAAGAGACATCAGATAAGTTGTAGCCAGTGTTACAAGACACGATTGCTACGGCGCCAATGGACTGATTATGTGTGAGAACCATGCCGTCGTCAGGAGCTGGTACTGGATCACAATAGTCAGATATAACTGCAAGAAGCAATAGTGGATAAGAAACAATAAGAAAAAATTATATTCTATGTCTCTTTCCCTCAAACCAGTTAATATTATATGCTGTTTGCGTTATGCAGAGCTCACTGACTTGTTAGTTTGACCACTCTGGCAAGGTACTTTCGGGCTTGGTTTTAACATTGCTTTGGAAGATTTATTTTTCATTGCTATCAGGTTCGGCATCAATTTCTCTGTGCTGCTCTGATGAGTCCACGAAGGACGAAACAGTTCGTCCGCAGATCGAGTATCATGCTCCTGCTTCTGTAGCATGTGAGCACTCTCGTGTGTGGTGGAGATCACACACATGCTTCATCCGCTAATCACGGAATGTGCTGCATAGTTTGAACTGTTCATCAGCACTCAACTACTTGGTACTTCACAGGGAAGAGCAGCGACAAATACGATCAGTTTGCTAGTTTGCTGTGGGCGCGTATGAAACAGAGAGAAAGAGAGAGAAGGAGAGAGAGAGAGAGAGAGAGAGAGAGAGAGAGAGAGAGAGAGAGAGAGAGAGAGAGAGAGAGAGAGAGAGAGAGAGAAAGAGAGAGAGACAGCGAGAGAGACAGAGAAAGAGACAGATTGAGACGCACCGAGAGAGACAGAGAGAGAGGCAAAGAGAGACAGAAGGAGACACAGAGAGAGGAAAAAAAGAGACAGAGAGAGACAGAGAGAGAGAGGCAAAGAGAAACAGAAGCAGACACAGAGAGAGAAAAATAGACGCAGAGAGACACAGCGACACAGAAACAAAAGAGAAAGAGAGAGAAAGCCAGACAGACGGACTAACAGACAGACAGACAGACAGACAGACAGACAGACAGACAGACAGACAGACAGACAGACAGACAGACAGAAAGACAGACAGACAGACAGACAGACAGACAGACAGACAGACAGACATGCAGACAGACAGACAGACAGAGAAAGAGAAAGAGAAAGAAAGACAGGCAGGGCAAGACAGAGAGAGAGAGAGAGAGAGAGAGAGAGAGAGAGAGAGAGAGAGAGAGAGAGAGAGAGAGAGAGAGAGAGAGAAAGAAAGAGTGAGAGAGCAAGAGAGACGAATAGCTAGATGGATATAGAGTGAAAGTGGTCACAAACACTTACTCTGACACTCTGGATTGTGATTCCACTTTCCACCACTAGAGCAAACGACTGAAGATACATCCGATAAGTTGTAGCCAGTGTTACAGGACATGATTGCTACGGCGCCAATGGACTGATTATGTGTGAGAACCATGCCATTGTCAGGATATTGTACTGGATCACAATAGTCAGAGATAACTGCAAGAAGCAATAGTGGATAAGAAACAATAAGAAAAAATTATATTCTATGTCTCTTTCCCTCAAACCAGTTAATATTATTATGCTGTTTGCGTTATGCAGAGCTCACTGACTTGTTAGTTTGAGCACTCTGGCAAGGTACTTTCGGGCTTGGTTTTAACATTGCTTTGGAAGATTTATTTTTCATTGCTATCAGGTTCGGCATCCTTTTCTCTGTGCTGCTCTGATGAGTCCACAAATGACGAAACAGTTCGTCCGCAGATCGAGTATCTTGCTCCTGCTCCTGTAGCATTTGAGCACTCTCGTGTGGGGTGGAGATCACACACATGCTTCATCCGCTAATCACGCAATTCGCTGGATAGTTTGAACTGTTCATCAGCACTCAACTACTTGGTACTTCACAGGGAAGAGCAGCTACAAATACGACCAGTTTGCTAGTTTTTTTTTGCTAGAGAGAGAGAGAGAGAGAAGAGAGAGAGAAAGAGAGAGACAGAGAGAGAGACAGAGAAAGAAACATATAGAGACACACCGAGAGAGACAGAGAGTGACAGAAGGAGACACAGAGAGAGAAAAAGAGACAGAGAGACAGAGAGAGAGAGAGGCAAAGAGAGACAGAAGCAGACACAGAGAGAGAAAAATAGACGCAGAAAGACACAGAGACACAGGGACAAAAGAGAAAGAGAGAGAAAGCCAGACAGACGGACTAACAGACAGACAGACAGACAGACAGGCAGACAGACAGACAGACAGACAGACAGACAGACAGATAGACAGACAGACAGACAGACAGACAGACAGACACACAGGGCAAGAGAGAGAGAGAGAGAGAGAGAGAAAGAAAGAGTGAGAGAGCAAGAGAGACAAATAGCTAGATGGATATAATGAGAGTGAGAGTGAATGAGATAGAGAAAGAGAGAAATAACATGTGAAATTTAGTTGCCCATGATGATCCAGCAAGTGTGCTGAGAGTGCTTTGGCTGATGATTGCACACATCATGAAATGCAGATTTACTACAAATTAGCCTTGCCCTGCTGTTGTCCTATGATGAGCAATAGAGTGAAAGTGGTCACAAACACTTACTCTGACACTCTGGATTTTGATTCCACTTTCCACCACTAGAGCAAACGACTGAAGAGACATCAGATAAGTTGTAGCCAGTGTTACAGGACACGATTGCTGCGGCACCAATCGACTGATTATGTGTGAGAACCATGCCATTGTCAAGAGATTGTACTGGATCACAATAGTCAGATATAACTGCAAGAACCAAGGGCACAAGAATCAACAAGGGAGGAAGATGTAATTATGTTGGACTCAGTAGGCATTCGTTGTCCAATAAACAGTGGAAGGTACAGTAGGAAATCAAACTTATGATCTAGTTACTACGTCCGACAAGCCAAACTTGGCGTTTTTTTCAGTTCAAATCACTCGATATAACTCACGCTTCACAATCGAAAATAGCGATTGATTCAACAAAATGCAACTTTACTATTGCCCAAAAAAGACGTAAGAGAGATCGGTTAATCAGAATCAGTCTCCTCTGATTCGGAGAGCGCACGTTCCTGTGGAGAGGAATTGTCTCTGTCGTCAGACGAAGGTGTGACTATAATAGAGCGGATTCAGTTGCAGTAAGTACTTCGGCTGTGATCGCTCTGCAAGTCTTGATGTTGTTTCTGTGTGCTGTGCTCGAGAGCATATGTTTACTGCGCCAATGTAGACATCTATTCAGTCACTCACAAAATAGCCATTGTGCTAAACCGATCTTTAGTTCTCTATCAGAAGTGCGCGATGTCATCTCTCTCCGGCTATACATAAAGCGGTACAATCACGTACATTCCTACACATGCGTACATAGTACTAGGGGTGAAAGGGGTGATTCGAGTACCTGGGTGCCCGTCTGTTTAGCTGCTAATCTGTTAGCAAACGAGTACCCGTTAGTCGTGAACGAAGGTACAGTACAGATTCATTAGCTGGCTTGGACAGTCGTACAGTTCGACTCACAGTGGGAATTTGTTGTTGGTTGTTTGATCTTGCTTCATACGACAATTTTGACTGTTTTGCATGTAGCGCATGAGGCCGCTGACAGGAGATCAGTCGTAACATTCGTTCGTCTGGGCTGAAAGCGAACTGGCTTCTCTCCCGCCTTGCAAAACGAGATGAAGTCAAGCTCATTTGAATTATCGGTTTGTACGGTGTTTGCAGCAGTGCGGATTCGAATCTCCTCACGCATGTTCCTGACGATGACCCCGAGTACGTTGTCGTGCCTCCAGGTGTAACAACCCTGGTCCAGTGCTACACGACAAGCGCCGAGCACGTGGCGCAAAGTACAGGCCCAGGCACGGCACAAACTACAGTACGGATCCACTACCGTGTTTCCCCAACGGCGTAGGTTCGTCGGAGAAGGTAGAACGTCGAGGGTTGACGCGAGAAGAAATTTCAAATTCTTACCAGTACCACCGTACAAAAGGGGAGAGAGAGAGAGAGAGAGAGAGAGAGAGAGAGAGGGAGAGGGAGAGGGAGAGGGAGATTTGGTGCAGCTTTAGCACTATGTGGTTTATGATTTTCCTTTTTCTTAATTTCGCATTTAGCGCTTTTGGACGTCATTATTTTCTTCTCATTATTTCGCACAAGTTATTATTTTTGTGGTGTTCTCTAGCTTCTGTTTGTTTTGCAGTTTTTCTTGTGCAACCCCCCCCCCATTTTCCGATGCCTAGTTGCAACGCTGACGCCAAGACCTCTGGTCGGTTGAGTTGCTCCCAGCATATCAGCACGTCGTCCCTACATGCCCTATGTTTTGTCCTTTTCCTCGTTTCTTTTTGTTCTCCACCTGTTTTCCAGTAGGGCTGTGTCAATAGTAAAAAAAGAGGGAGAGGGAGAGAGAGAGAGAGAGAGAGAGAGAGAGAGAGAGAGAGACAGAGAGGCAGAGAGAGACAGAAGGAGACACAGAGAGAGGAAAAGAGAGACAGAGAGAGACAGAGAAAGAGAGGCCGAGAGAGACAGAAGGAGACACAGAGAGAGAAAAAGAGTGGCAGAGAGACAGAGACACGGAGAGACAAAGGAGAAAGAGGGAGAAAGCCAGCCAGCCAGCCAGCCAGGCCGACAGACAGACAGACAGACAGAGAAAGAGAAGGAGAAGAGAAAGGAAGGTAGAGGGAGAGAGAGAGAGTTGAATAACCAGATGGATATAATGAGCGTGAGAGTGAATGAGATAGAGAAAGAGATTTAAAACATGTGAAATGTAGTTGCCCGTGATGATCCAGCCAGTGTGCTGAGAGTGCTTTGGCTGATGATTGCACTCATCATGAAATACAGATTTACTACAAATTAGCCTTGCCCTGCTGTTGTACTATGATGAGCAATAGAGTGAAAGTGGTCACAAACACTTACTCTGACACTCTGGATTGTGATTCCATTTTCCACCGCTAGAGCAAACGACTGAAGATACATCAGATAAGTTGTAGCCAGTGTTACAAGACACGATTGCTATGGCGCCAATGGACTGATTATGTGTGAGAACCATGCCGTCGTCAGGAGCTGTTACTGGATCACAATAGTCAGATATAACTGCAAGAAGCAATAATGGACAAGAAACAATAAGAAAAAATATAATAATATTATACCACACTATATCAAGAACATTCATTGAGTTTTTGTAATCATTGCTGTCTGATGATCGCCACAGGCGTGAAACTGTGAGTCCCAGCCAACCCAAGCTCCGTTTCCCATTCCATTCTTTTGTAATATTGCTGTAGCACGTTATGTTGTGTACGTCGTGTGTACGTCGTGTTGGTGCATGCGCGTGTTGCTGTGGTGTGAAAAGCAGTCTTCGTCTTGAGTTCGTCATGTCTAGTTGTGTTTTTTTCTTTTTTCGTCGTCGTGTCAATAAAGTTATATATATAAACAGTCTTCTAAATGTAGTTATCGGTGTCCCTTTGTATAAGTGTGGAGATGGTACGGGACTGGGAGCAGGTAGAGAAAGGCAGTTACAACATTGGTGGCAGCGGTGATCGAAATTGTTGTAAACGTCAACTTCTGCATTTGTCCTACGTGGCCTTCGCTCCCAGTTTCCGATGTCATCTCCAGTCGTCCTATCGTCAAAGCTTCGAGAAGTTCGTCCGTCGTCCTCGTCCTTCATCATTCGTCTCTGCCATCTCTTGTCAGTCGTCGTCACTGGTGGTCCCGGACACGGCGTAAAACTGTGCCCAGAAGAAAAGCTAAAGAAAAGAAGGATGGATGGTCCCGGACACGACGTAAAACTGTGCCCAGAAGAAACCCTGAAAAAAGAAGGATGGAAGGTGAAAAGAAGGGGCTGCAGTGTGAGGATGTCGACGCTGAGCAACGCTCCTTGAGATGGTGGACGGCATGGCAGACGGCGTGAGGAGTTTCGTTGGTGAGAGGGTACGTGTGTTGTTGTGAACGTGATGATAATGTGAGTTTTCTGTTTTCTGTTCTCCCAACATTTTGTTCATTTTTATTTGCTCTCCTCGAGGGTAAAGAGGCGCCTGCACAGTGCATGTGTTCTGTTAGTTTTTTTATTTGCTCTTCTATGAGGATAACTAGAGGCCCCCACAGAGCCAGTGGATTTTGTTCTTTTTGTTATTCCTATGATTTGTGCTCTCACATTTTAGAATTTTTGCGTGATCGCGAGGTGGTGACGTGTGTAGAGTGAAGTAGTTTAGAGTTTTTGAGGTTATCAGTGCCTACACGTGTGACAGCGATCGTGGCTGGTGTTCCGGGTAGGCGGACGTTTTTTAATAATCTGCAGTGCAGGCAGAGGTAATTCATTGCTGGGTGTGACTGGTGTGGTATGATTGAATGATTGGTGTGATCTTTTCCTCTTTTTCCTCTGTTTTATTATTAGAATCGAGGACGATTCTACTCTTGGGAGGGAGTTATGTTGTAGTACGTTATGTTCTGTACGTCGTTTGTACGTCGTGTTGGTGCATGCGCGTGTTGCTGTGGTGTGAAAAGCAGTCTTCGTCATGAGTTTGTCATGTCTAGTTGTGCTTCGTCGTCGTGTCAATAAACAGTCTTCTAAAAGTAGTTATCGTTGTTCCTTTCTATAAGTGTGGAGATGGCACGGGACTGGGTGCAGGTAGAGAAAGGCAGTTACAACAATATTATTATATGCTGTTATTAAATGCTGTTTGCGTTATGCAGAGCTCACTGACTTGTCAGTTTGAGCACTCTGGCAAGGTACTTTTGGCCTTGGTTTTAACATTGCTTTGGAAAATTTATTTTTCATTGCTATCAGGTTTGGCATCATTTTCTCTGTGCTGCTCTGGTCAGTCCACAAAGGACGAAACGGTTCGTCCGCAGATCGAGTATTTCGCTCCTGCTCCTGTAGCATTTGAGCACTCTCGTGTGGGGTGGAGATCACACACATGCTTCATCCGCTAATCACGGAATTCACTGGATAGTTTGAACTGTTCATCAGCACTCAACTACTTGGTACTTCACAGGGAAGAGCAGCTACAAATACAACAAATTTGCTAGTTTGCTGTGGGCGCGTTTGAGATACAGAGAGAGAGAGAGAGAGAGAGAGAGAGAGAGAGAGAGAGAGAGAGAGAGAGAGAGAGAGAGAGAGAGAGAGAGAGAGAGAGAGAGAGAGAGAGAGAGAGAGAAAAAGAGAGAGAAAGAGAGACAGACAGAGAGACAGACAGAGAAAGAGACAGAGAGAGAGACACACACACAGAGACAGCGAGAGAGAGGCAAAGACAGACAGAAGGAGACACACAGAGAGAAAAAGAGACAAAGAGAGACAGAGAGAGAGAGAGGCAAAGAGAGACAGAAGGAGACACAGAGTCAGAAAAATAGACGCAGAGAGACACAGAGGCACAGAGACAAAAGAGAACTTGAGAGAGAGAAAGCCAGACAGACGGACTAACAGACAGACAGACGGACAGACAGACAGACAGACAGACAGACAGACAGACAGACAGAGAAAGAGAAAGAAAGAAAGGCAGGGGGAGAGAGAGAGAGAGAGAGAGAGAGAGAGAGAGAGAGAAAGAAAGAGTGAGAGAGTAACAGAGATGAATAGCTAGATGGATATAATGAAAGTGAGAATGAATGAGAAGAAAAAGAGAGAAAACACATGTGAAATGTAGTTGCCCATGATGATCCAGCCAGTGTGCTGAGAGTGCTTTGGCTGATGATTGCCCGTATCATGAAAAACAGATTTACAACAAATTAGCCTTGCCCTGCTGTTGTCCTATGATGAGCAATAGAGTGAAAGTGGTCACAAACACTTACTCTGACACTCTGGATTGTGATTCCATTTTCCACCGCTAGAGCAAACGACCGAAGAGATGTCAGATAAGTTGTAGCCAGTGTTACAGGACACGATTGCTACAGCGCCAATGGACTGATTATGTGTGAGAACCATGCCATTGTCAGGAGATTGTACTGGATCACAATAGTCAGATATAACTGCAAGAACCAAGGGCACAAGAATCAACAAGAGAGGAAGATATAATTATGTTGGACTCAGTAGGCATTCGTTGTCCAATAAACAGTGGAAGGTACAGTAGGAAATCAAACTTATGATCTAATTACTACGTCCGACAAGCCAAACTTGGCGCGTTTTTTTAATTCAAATCACTCGATATAAGTCACCATTCATAATCGAAAATAGCGATTGATTCACCAAAATACAACTTGTTATTGCCCAAAAAAGACATAAGAGAGATCGGTTAATCAGAATCAGTCTTCTCTGATTCGGAGAGCGCACGTTCCTGTGGAGAGGAATTGTCTCTGTCGTCAGACGAAGGTGTGACTATAATAGAGCGGATTCAGTTGCAGTAAGTACCTCGGCTGTGATCGCTCAGCCAGTCTCCATGTTTTTCTGTGTGCTGTGCTCGAGAGCATATGTTTACAGCGCCAATGTAGACATCTATTCAGTCACTCACAAAATAGCCATTGTGCTAAACCGATCTTTAGTTCTCTATCAGAAGTGCGCGATGTCATCTCTCTCCGGCTATACATAAAGCGGTACAATCACGTACATTCCTACACATGCGTACATAGTACTAGGGGTGAACGGGGTGATTCGGGTACCTGGGTGCCCGTCTGTTTAGCTGCTAATCTGTTAGCAAACGAGTACCCGTTAGTCGTGAACGAAGGTACAGTACAGGTTTAATAGCTGGCTTGGACAGTCGTACAGTTCGACTCACAGTGGGAATTTGTTGTTGTTTGTTTGATCTTGCTTCATACGACAGTTTTGTCTGCTTTGCATGTAGCGTGCAAGTAAGTGTGCATGCTGTGATCGTTATGACGCAGTGTTTTTGCTGTGAATTGCATGACTTCACATGTCCTCCTGGCTCGAAATGCGGAAGGCTATTGTATCGTAACTTTTACCATTGGCCGCTAACATGTACCCAATAACCCGCCCGTTAAGCCACGTACCCGTTTGGAACCTTTAATGGTAATCGTTTCATCCCTACATAGTACTGTAGCGGGCCTTGAGGCAAAACAACCTAACAACTCGAAACTAACTTTATTAACAATTCTCTCTCTCTCTCTCTAGAACGGCAAAACTGCCTCTAGCAATAAAACTCTAAAACTCATTGTGAAAGATATAATAAACGCAATTTATGGAAAATAATCACAAACAGCAAAGTACTGTCATGCGACGGTTGTGCGGTAGAACGGACGTCGTATTGAACAGTACGCCGAGCGTATACGCAAATGCTGAGCTTGTAGCGAACGTCGTATTGAACAGTGCGCTAAGCGTTAACGCAAATACTGAGCTTGTAGCGTGACCAACGCATGACCAATGCTACACCTCCCCTCTCAAAGACAATCACGTCCTCGTGATTAGTAGCGGGTTGGTGGTCGAAACGTTTGGCGGTATGCATGGTCGCGTCGGGACAACCCCGACGAAAGAACATAGAGCGTCAACCGGGATATTTATGGCAAACAATATCGGAAATTATATCGTTAATAGAGTAGACAGAAGAAATGAACTGATAACAAATCATAAAAATAGAAGCACACCATGGTCAAAGTATATCACGGGTTCAAAAGGGAAACCTGATCACACTTCCTGTATAACGCTGGCGCAACCCGCCAGGAAAACCGCAGTTCAGAACCGAACTGATTATTATATATTAACATCGTCCCAGATTAATTAGATAGACCGTGGTTCACCATGATCAGATGCCTACGAAACTAAACTGAATTCACACGCTCGCGTAAAGGAAGACTGAAGAGAACAGGAAGACTGAAGGAAGACAGGAAAGATAATGCCATATCTGGAATTAGCTTACACTGGCAATGTACATGGAGCTCCATCCTTTGAGACGCTAGTGCTATCTGTCATGGAGCCCAGTCCCTAGAAACACGTTGGCTGCCATCATGACTGGCTAGTTGTGTCGGGCGGCAGGAGCAGCGGAGCTGGGGCAGCGGCGGGTGATGGCGGGTTCTCCTTCAGATACACGAACTTGCGCCCTCAGCGAAACGTGGATGAAAACTACAACTAAAATTGACGGCTGTCACAAATGTGTAGCGGCCATTACGTCGGAAAACATGCAACTAGAACAAAACTTTACCGCTGCCACCAATTTTTGTAGCGGGCCTGGAGGCAAAACAACCTAACAACTCGAAACTAACTTTAGGCCACACCAAGTTTTTTCATTGTTTCTCGTCACCGCGCGCGTACCTTTCTTGAGGATTGGACCAAAAAAAAATCTCGCGTCCCGGTAAACACGCATAAAAAGGCGTTGTAAAAGTACGCGCGGCGTCAAATCTGGAGTGCAGTGCTAGTGCACGAACCGAAGGACGACTTTTGCACCGTGTATGTACGCATACCGGTAGTTCAAGTACCACACCACCACACGACCTGGTCGTCTTCTTTGCTACACACAGTTCCGGTACAAGTCAAGACAGTGCATGACAGTGCACCATTTTGGACTGACAGTGTTCCGGGCATCACGCGTGGTGTATAGTCTGATTTTAGGTCATAAATTGGGCCTTTGTAGTGTAAATAGCAGTTTTTGTTTTTCAAACCCTATTTTGTTTTTTTTCCGCCCGCCCGCGTTCCTTTTGAGATTTTCAGGTGACGAGAAACAATGAAATAACTTGGTGTGGCCTTATTAACAATTCCCTTTCTCTCTCTAGAACGACAAAACTGCCTCTAGCAATAAAACTCTGAAACTCATTGTGAAAGATAAAACGAGAGAGCTTGGAAGCTCAGGGCCCTACGCTATGATTTTTTGCCTTGATGATCTAGACAAAAAAGCATAGAGATGTTATAAATTCTTATTAGTTTCAACTTTTTGTTTTTAGACATAACCTGGGATTTGAACCCGCACTATCGCCCTGCATGCATCCCCCGATACACTTCGCATGCATACTAATTCTTCCAAGTTGCTTCATGTTATGATCTTGTATTTGAAAGCCCGTTTGAATATGCATTGTGGCCAGCCGTCTTTGATTGTACGGTACGGGATAGGTACAGGACACGTA